TTTTTAGTAAAAAAAATTGAAAAAATTTCGAAAATTAGCGATTTTTAAATTTGTAATTTTTTTGGAGGTTTCCCCCATTTACGGGGAACGAGGGAAATTTTTTCAATTTTGAAGGGTAATGTCTTCGACTAGATACGATTTGTGATCTTTTGACGTATCGTTGAAAGAAATCCGTTCGGTGAGAGCTGAGAAAAAGTGGTAACAGACACAAAAAAAAAAAAAACACATCTTAGTAAAACCAATACCTTCTCAGCTTCGCATCGAAGCTAATATGAAAAAGAATTTTTTTACAAAAATCGTATTTTATTATTTTTTTAATTTTTAACTTTATAATGCTATAACTTATTGATAAGTGTATGGTTCAACTCAATTTTTTTATGAGAAATAATATTTTTTAATAATCTCCTTTTTAACACGCTTATATTAGTTTCACATGTATGTTGTTTGTCGTTTGTAAGTTTGTAACTCCACGCGGCTCGTGTTATTATGTCGCGTATCCCGTCGTGTATGACCTTGAGACTATACTGTCGTAACGCATTCACCCCACCCCGCTCACCACTCGCCGATAACAATATTTTCCTGTATAATTTTATATTTTTGGTTTTCGTACCCGTACAAGCGTGCGTGACATTAATTATATATATATAAACAAATTTTTATTTTGACTGACCAATACCACCTGCATGTAATGCGACTTACGTATATATATTTATGTATTCCTACCGTCGCTGTAGCCGTTTATACCTTGGGTATAACGTCCCCCCGCCCACAAAACAAGGCTATACCTAGTGCATGATACGTTTACGTACTTATGTCGTCTTACTATATATATGTATGTATATATATATATTCCTACAGCCGCCGCATATGCCTCGCGTACAACGTACCCCCGTGCCTCGCCCGCCCACAAAACACAGCTATACCTCGTACATGATACGTTTACGTAGTTAAGTCGCTTTTCATGTATATATATATTCTAATTACTATTAAAAATATATATTAACACGCTTTATTCTCATTAAGATATATAGAATGTATTCATTCCTATTACAAAGGATGATTCCCGCGTATCGTCATTTTTCGTCACTACCATCACGTTCCGGGAGTGAGTAATTTGCGCGCCTACTGTTTTCCTTGGATGTGGTAGCCTTTTCTCAGACTTCCTCCCCGGAATCGTACTCTGATTTCCCGTTACCCGTTACAACCATGATATTGATAGTAACTACTATCATAACATGAAACTAAAAAGTAAAAAATAAATATAGTTTAAAAAAACTAAAAAACACGCTTTTAAAGCACATCGAACTAAAAAGTTAAAAATAATTTTTAAAATAAGCTTGAAACAATAATGAACGAAAAATACTAGTATTATTGTGATAAAAGCGTGGTCGCTTTGTGCCATATTTTTCGTATATTGAGCGCCCGCTTTTATCACAATAATACTAGTATTTTTCGATCATTATTGTTTCAAGCTTATTTTAAAAATTATTTTTAACTTTTTAGTTCAATGTGCTTTAAAAGCGTGTTTTTTAGTTTTTTTAAACTATATGTATTTATTTGACATACTTTATCTTAATCAGGATTATAATAAGGAACTAGCAGAATATGTAGCTTTTGGAATAATCCACCAATTTTTTAAAATTAAAAACTAACTAAAGATTTGCATCGAAGCGTTTTTTTTTTTATTGTGATTTTAATCACTGTCAGATATTATTATACTTGATCCAACTATGCCTGTCATCACTGTGCCGCGACCCCCCTGTGCTGGGGTTTTTTTTTTAAATAAAATCATTTCCCTTTATATATTTATGTATTATAAATATATATATATATTCATATATTATACATATAAATTATAAAACTTGTAATCGAGATATAAATAAAAAAATAGGGGATCATGTAGCTTTTGGTGTATTCCATCAATTTTTTTTAATTAAAGACTATCTACATATTTGCATCGAAGCGTTTTTTATGATAGTCATCTTAATCACTTTCAGATATCTATACTGGACCCAACTATGCCACGTTCCCACTGTGCTGGGTATTTTATATTTTAATCTTAAAAAATGTAATAAATTAGGAATACTCTTAAGGACTTATAAATTTTATACAGTATAGAAAATCCCTTTGGAGATTAAGTTTTGCATTAACTAAAGTATGTTAATGTTAGAAAATAGTTTTTATTTTAGGATGAATGGATTCTTACTGCTCAAGATGAATTTTACTATGAACGTGATTATGTGGCTGAATGGAGATATTGGTGCATAGTTTTTATTACTTTATTAGCATGTGGTAATAAATGAGTTAATGCATAAAATACATTTTTACTATAAATTGTAATTTTTGTGTTTAGGTGTTTTTATTGCATTAGCAATTTTATGTTTATGGCACGGCTTACTAATAAGCAATGGTGAAACAAGTATCGAATCACACATTAATAAATATGAAACTGAACGTATGGCAATGATAAATTTTAAGTATGTCAATATTTATAATTATGGAGTGAAAATGAATTGGAAACTTTTTCTTGGTCTTCATAATGGAAGGTATTGTATAGTTTTTAATTTTATAAAAAATTCTATAATCCTTCAACCTTAAACTATAATTTAAGAAAAAAGTAGATTAAGATTTCATATTGTTTTTATTTAATTTTCAAATACAGTTTATTTAAAATGAAAAACATTTTTCCAGAAAAAATAATTTAAAAAAATTTGTATTTTTACATTTTTATGGATTTTTCTGTCTATAAAAGGACATAATATCTTCTCCGGAAAAAGTTTCTCCTTTATGTATTCTGATACGGGTAATTAATCAGTTGCTGGACAATGGGATGGGAAACTAATCATTGAGCTGATATCCTGCTCAAAAAAAATTTGTCCGTGACTGAATTTTGAACGTGTAACAGTGCGTATTAGGCACTGCGACATTATCTCAATTCATTCACGCCGTCTTTTATTATATTAAATTTTATAAATTGATTTACTACAGTTAAATTACCTTTTTAGATATAAAATTTTTTATTTTCGTTGCTAATTCAAAAAAAAAATAATAATATTGTACTAATAATTAAATATGTTATACATTATTTTAGGAATTGGAGACATGTAGTTTTTCCATCAACCCATAAACCCTTGGGAAATGGGTTTATTTGGCCTACTTCTGATGATATGAAGAAAGTGTTTTGCTGATATATATTCATTCCTATAAAAATAATTTATATTAAAATTTTAATTAATAAACAAAATTTTTAGTTTTTATAAAATATTTTATAAAATCTGAAATTTGCATGAGAACTACTTTTATATCTAGTATACAACTATCTATTTTTCAACTGTATCTTTCATCTTCTAAGGGACAAAATTTCCTTGAAAATTGCCATTTTGTCATCTTTCCCAAGTTAAAGGATTGGGTTGAATTTTAAAACTTTGTAACCAAGAAAATAAATGGTTCTTATGAATTAATAAGTATTAAGTAATACTTAAAGTTTTTGTGTTCAAAAACTTCAACAAATCATGCTAAATACAAATTTCTAATCACAACTACAATTGACATGCCCACATGTTTTAGTATTATTGACAATAAAGTGTACCGAAAAAACTATTGATTTTGAGAAGTACTAAATTTGTTATCTTACCCTAGTGTTAAATTCTTTAATTAATCTTACTCTAGTCTTCAACCTTTTTTTATTTATTCTCTCTTCACTTAGAAAAACTTGAAACATAATTTTATAACACATAAGTGATACTTGAAAAGAAATTGGGGCCAAACTTAAATTATCTTAATTCTTAAAAATGTGTATAAAACTAAAATATAACTTCTTTATACATAAAAAAAGGAAAATAAATAAAAATTATTCACATATAACGCTTCAGAGATAGCATTGTGCTCCATATCGGCGTCAAGGTCACATTGTCAGCTTCCATTACCGGCATAGGTGACCACTGCCAAAGAAATGTTTGTAATATAAATACTGCTTTGTATTGTAAACAGTGGCGCCAAAACTACGGAAAATACTGAATATTTACAAATTTCAAGAATTTTCATCAAATCTACGGATTTTTAAAAAAAAATTTTAATGTTTCAATGTTAATATTATTCTGGGTATTAATGTTGCACATTGACGTGTTTGATCGTAAACTTGTTGTTGGCAGTACGAAAATTGTTGCGTATGGACCAGTTTTTGAGCATAAAGAAGACGTAAACTTTATTGGATGTTAATTTTTTAACCACTTATACCACTGATAAGTTGTAACGATTGGGCTCTTAGTATGGGCTCACTAATCACCCACAATTAATTTAAATTATACAAAGTTTGTAACATTATACAATATTCATCATTTCCTTTTGTAGTCTCAATTTTTTTATTAGATTAGTAGTCTTAAAATTGCTCTGCAACCCGATATCAAGTAATGCGGTTCCATTTATATAACTTTCCGTTGTATTCATAACTCTCATTATTACCATAGGCGTCATTTCAATATTTTATCTGGGGTGGCAAATTTAATTAGCCTAAATGACTTTTTTTTTTACAAAAATAACATTTGTTAAAGTAACTCCCATATATGGAAGGCCATAATTACCTTAAAACAATATTTTTTAATCACTTACCTTACTAGCTAAACCTTATTTAACCCATTGAATTATAAAAGAGAGAAATTAAGTAAATATAAAAAAACTTTTAATAATAATCAATGTTTATATTCATTTTCATACAAAATGAAGTCTTCTATTTCGGTTTAAATCAAAATCATCAATAACTTTAGACATGTTTACTTTTACATTCCTTTCGATAGCTAAAATAGCCAAAGATGATTATCTATCCTGTCCAACTGTACTTCTGGTGTATGTTTTCAATCGACGCAAGCATGAAAAAGACCTTTCACATGAAGCCGAGTTCATTGGAATCGTGAAACACAAACGAAAAAGTTCAAAAAGCATAGGAAACACATTTTTCAAAGATTTACGAACAAAAACGTCAGATCTTTCTTGAATTGATATGTTTCTTGATTCTTCCATTTTAAGGAAACATCAATTTAAAACAATTTAAGTTCAGATAGAAGAAGTTCGTTGTCTAAATTATAATATTTAGACACATATTGCACAGAGGCTGTGTCTACATCGGTTCCACCTAGAACTCCACTTAAGTGGTTAAGTACATCTAGGTTGTTTTCTTGAAGTCTAGCCTCTATCTCCTCGATTAGGATATCAATAACTGGCCAAAGGATTGATACTTTGTAGTACTGCTCTACAGATTCAAATGGGGTTTTACTTCCTCCACCAATTTTTAGTGGAATTCGGCTATTTCTTGGCAGTTGGGCGGTTTTAAACCCGCACTTGTCAGTGATGTCTGTGCAGTGATCAAACAACTTTGTGAAAAATTCATGTGTTCTGAAGGATTTTAATACATCAAGAGTGCTGTTTTTTACAGATTTCACAATTTCATAAGTCACACTACTTGACTGAAGTGTTTTTGACAGTACATCACATTGGGATAGAACTCTTTTGAGCAATAAAAGGTCAAATACAAAGTTAAAGTCCTCAATATTTTTCAATAACGCATTGGCTTGTCCACCACTATCATTGTCTTTTTCGGAAATCTCCCGTAAAGTTGCAAGAGTGGCATCAAAATTATCTAGTAGAGAGCGTACGGCTTCGACACGACAAGCCCATCGAGTGTCACTTAAAGATTTTAATGTTACTGTTCCACCATCATGGCTTTGAAAAGTTTTTTGAATTTCTTCAAAAACAGCATGTCGTTTAGTTGATTTCGCAATGAAGTTATAAAGACTTTGAAGTACAAAGAACGTGTTTCATATTGAAGTAATACGAGTGCAACAGCTTACAATGCACAAGTTCAATATATGCGCGTTGCAGTGAATGTACATTGCCATTGGAGCTTCTTGCATAATTATAGCTGCCACTCCTTTATATGGGCCTCTCATGTTTGAGGCGCCATCATAGCACTGAGCACGTAGGTATTTTAGGTTCAAGTCCAGCGAAATCAAAACATTCTTCAGTTCATTGGCCAGTGAAACGCCGTCAGCTCTTTTAGTACGGTAAAATCCTACAAATGACTCATGAATTTCTAACTTGTCATTAACATACCTTAAGACAATAGCTACTTGTTCGTGTTTTGCTATGTTTTGAGTCTCATCTGCTATAATGGCAAAAATCTTTGCCTCTTTAACTTCTTTGGCAATGTGCATTTTAATTTGTTCCCCAATAATTGACAATAGCTCATTCTGGAAAGTCGGTGAGGTATACTGAAATTTTTTTTGATTATTCATGAAGAATTTTTTTATTACACAGTTATCTATAGAACGAAGCTTCATAAGCTCCAAAAAGTTTCCTCTATTCTTCGAATCTGTAGATTCGTCATGACCTCGCAAAGCAATAGATTGCCTACCACAAAATATCAGCGATTCACACAAAGCTTCTAGGTACAATCTGTTTTCTTTTACTTCTTCTGAATACTGCTAATGTACTTTTTCTATAACAGTGCCACTTTTGTCTGCTTCTTTTAGAGAATTGAGTTTAATGTTACTAATTCTATGTGAGCTGCTATTCTCGTGTTTCTTAAACGCGTTTACAGCTTTCTTCCATTTGGAAAATCCAGTGAGGGTAAATACATCTTCTGCATTATTTTCTTCAGAGTTGTAAAACAAACGGCAGACAAAACAGAACGCTTTATCTGTTAAAATACTGTATTCCAGCCAAGAAAATATTTTATACCACTCTGGCCTAAATTTCCTACCGTCCACTTGAGGGAAATTTAAATCCTGTGGTTGAAATGAACCTTCCTTAAAATATGTCTTGGCCGTACCTGGTCCATGAGTAGGATCTCGTTTATTAATTGGACCAATTATTAATTGGTGAGTTGTACTGGAGGAAGACCTGAGCCTCTGTATTTCATTTGAAGGAGAATTACCCTTAGAAGTTGTGGTTGAGAGAGCGACTGATAAGCCTAATACATCTTCTACTTCTGGTTGATGTTCCAAAGCAACTCCATCAAATGGTTCATCTTCTAACCGTTTCTTCTTACTCGCAGGGTCTGAGCTAAAGTAAGACAGCAACGAACTTTGTCCTTTTTTATTTTTCTGAGAAAACTATAAAAACAAATAGCAAAATAAGGTTCTTTTTGAATTCCAAATTTATAAATTTTTGCGAATAGGTTTATTGTTTTGTTTGATTGCTTGCGGAGGTGTAGTAATGAAGTGGCAAGGTGGCATTTTGCCCCTTCCCAAAATATAATTTTTGTTGGCAAAATGGTCTTTTTTCTTTAATACAGTTGGCCGAAATGAATTTATGAAATTAAATAATATAATTAAGTTATATCATACAAAAAAAATAGAGAAAACACACTATTACGAATATGCTTGTGTAACGCATATTTCATATGAGACCTATGATCACAAGGAGGACGACAATTAGGAGTTTTTATTTCTTAAAGATAAACACAGTAAGGTTTTATTGTAATTTTTGTAAATTTTTTGTATACTACAGCTATTTAGGATCAAATTCAATACACGGAATACTTAATTCTGCCACCTTAACAACCATTTTTTTATATACTCATAAAAATTAAAAATGTTTTCTCTACATCGCATCAAGGTCTTCAATTCTAAATGTACTTATTTGCGTTACAACTTAAATGTATTTTGGAAAAAAGAATGAATTAAATGCGTTTAAAACTTTTTTAAACATTAATTTTTCTGAGGTGATAAAAAAAGTTTATGAAACAAAAAAACACTAAGATAACAGTTATAATCAATTTTAATGGGTTTAAATACAAATTGACATTTAATGAATTATTTGTGGATTTAAGGCATGCATAATTTTTTTGATCCGTTGAGAACTAATTTTAGTGTACTAAGACCACAAGCTATTTCAAATCAAAAAATCATCTGGATAAAAAAAAATGTGTAGGCTTGGATCGATAAAGATTTTTATTTAATTTGATCTGCTTTATTTGAATCTGCATTTAATTTGGCCCATATCCCCTTATACTCTAATACTATAAGCAGGACCCCCACAAGGGGGGGCCAGTCGGTACCATGGAACCGGGGCCCTGGCCTCTTTGAGTTCCCGGCAGAAATATGAATAAGCAAAAAAATAATAAGGGCCCGGTTTTTATTTACNTAAAAAAAAAAAGGTCTTTAAATAAACAATAAGGGCCCGGTTTTTATTTACAGTATCGTACTTCAAAAATTCGTGTGGGGGGCCTGACTATAAGTATACCTATTATGAAAAATTAGTAGCTATATGGTGTGGAACAGATTGATTACAGTTGATATAAACTCGTTGTATAGAATCTTTCAAAACAAAATTTTATTAATGTAAAATACTTGATAGAATAGCCAGGGCCGGCTTGAAAGCGGTTCAGATGAGGGACGAGCAAAAAAAAAAAAAGGTCTTAAAAAAATTTCAACCACTAAATAGGCCCCGCAAAAATATTTTGCACGTTGCCCCGATTTTACCAAGCCGGCTCTGACAATAGTGAATAATACGATAAAGAACTAAAATACCGTACTTATACATAACTAATTAAACCTGTAAAATTAATTTTATAAACTTACCATGTCTTTGATCACAAAAATAAAAAACTGGCATAAAGCTACTCTAGCAACTAACTCTGCTCAATAGCAAAAATAGTGGCTATACCATTTAAGATGGAAATAACCGATAATCTTTCTAGGAAACTAGTATAGCTTGTTAATGTTGTCGCGACGTTGATAAGGGTACTATTTCTGTAAACATTTTTTGTACATATGTACATAATATATTTATATACAATAACAATATTACGACACAGTCGCGGTGTCATCACTCAGGTGTTTCCCCGCAGCCGTGCCAGCTAACCATCGCCCTACTACATACGCGAATACAGGACTGATACGCATACGCATTATTATCATTTTTATTATTGACAAGAATCTTTCATGTATAGAATATTTTTTAATTAGATAATTGGAAATAATTAAGTTTTACTTCAAAATTCTGGGGTGGCAAAATACTGGGTCCAGAAATTCAGGGGTGGCAACTGCCCCCCCTTGCCACCCCCAAATGACGCTTATGATTATTACTGTTGCTAATAACGTTTGTTTTTGATCTACATTAACAATATACATATTGATTTGTGCATTGCTTCTTGGTTTGTTGTTTGGAATGTTGTCATCCTCATTCGCCATGTGTAAGAGCAAATTGTGTTCACCTTAACACTTCATACACTTCCTTGCATTGCAATAAATAACAAAATGATAATTGTTTAAACAAAAAATAATTTTAGTTCATTTACCCTAAATGTTTGAGTTTTTAATTTAATAGTAAATGGCATTTGAATTTTTAATAAAACTTAATTTGTTTATTAGATATAAACATTTAAAGTTTAAAATGTTTGAGTTAATATATAGGTATAATACACAAGGGATTACAAATACAGGTAGCTAATTGGTTTTTTATGATATTGCTATCACAGTCACGAATTGTTTATTATCAATTATGACTATCAATAGATATACTTTTTGTATTGTCAGTTAGTGTATTTATAAACTCGCAACAATGTACCTTACTATCATTGATAATAACAATGCTGTGTACCTGCTAATATCGATGTCATAAAAAACCAATTAGGTACCTGTATTTGTAATCCCTTGTGTATTATACCTATATATTAACTCAAAAATTTTAAACTTTAAATGTTTATATCTAATAAACAAATTAAGTTTTATTAAAAATTCAAATGCCATTTACTATTAAATTAAAAACTCAAACATTTAGGGTAAATGAACTAAAATTATTTTTTGTTTAAACAATTATCATTTTGTTATTTATTGCAATGCAAGGAAGTGTATGAAGTGTTAAGGTGAACACAATTTGCTCTTACACATGGCGAATGAGGATGACAACATTCCAAACAACAAACCAAGAAGCAATGCACAAATCAATATGTATATTGTTAATGTAGATCAAAAACAAACGTTATTAGCAACAGTAATAATCATNAAAAAAAAATCACCCTGTATATATATATACACACTTCTTAATTCAACAGATTGTTTTAATACAATATTCCAAAGTATGTTAGATTGTCACAAGATCTAATGGCGTTAAAAATAACTATATACACATAATATTACAATATCTTTATAATTATTTTAATTATGATATTGTTTATACTATTGATAACAAGACAAATTCAATCTACGTTTAATAGAATAAATATATATATATGTATTGACGCGATATAGTTTCCTTACATCGATCAACCACGCACAGCTCAAAAAAAACAAAACAACGGAGACACACCAGAGGAGGTGTACNAACAACGGAGACACCAGAGGAGGTGTACGTCGAAAACGGAACAGAACGCAATATCGGTAATCCATATTCGGCGGCGGCCTTATCTCAGTGTCAAGGGCGGGGAGACGACCGATGACAACCGATTGTCATATTAATAGCTGGACGGCTGATATCGAGAGAGACACGGGTGAGCGCCAGCCTAGAGCAAAAGGCGGTGCCGTGTCACAACATAGAGACGACCGGGCGGGTAAAGGTGCAGTGCATTTTAATGTGGGTCAAGTTAAATTAATTAGATTGCACATCGCAGTGAAGAATGCAAATACTTACGTTGTCACTCTGGACAATTTTGACCAAACAGCTCAACAGAACTTTCTGTACCTCCTACTGGAGCTTTAGACAGATGACGAGTTCTCCGGTAAATTACACCGGACTTTGGCGGAACAAAACTGAAGAAAACAGTTTTCGGGTAAATAAAGAAATTTTCCTTGTGAAAATGGCTGGTACCCCGGCATACAATAATCGGGACCTCTTTGCACCGGTGAAAATTGAAATTTCATCAGTGGATTAAATCAGATTCGGGAAGAACAGCACCGGTCCATTTTTTCGTTGCAAACCGAAATTCTACGGTTGAATATAACCGGTCGTCCGAGGACTATTACCGGAAAATACAGTTCTCCGATAAAAATTTAATTTTCTTCGGTCAGGAACATAATACTTTCGCTTCTAATCGAGAAATAACCGATATTGCCGAAGTAGAACGGCCCGGAAATTATTTTCGTCCGAATAACAGGACCAGGAAGCAATGACTGTTACTTTTAACAAAACGTCGTTAAAGTCCCACGACAGTCTAACGTTAGTGCGCGATTCTCTGTCGGAGTCTTCCGGTAAGAAACAAGAGGACTCCAACGCTATCATTAAGGAGGCTGAGTTGGTCTTATATGAAGCGAACGTACCGCACCAGAAGTGGATACGTTTGTTGACTCCATAGATAAAAGCAGAGACAGGTAACTTATGGGATACCATTCGCTGTTTGAACTCCATATGGACGGTATTCCAGCAAAAAATTTTAAGGAGATTTAACAGCAATGTGATACAGAGCTAAGTACGCAACGATCTTCACAGTGCTCAACTATGCGAGTGACAATCCCTAGGGAAGTTTGTGATGTGGAAGATTGGTATTAGTTTTTAACTAATAGATTTAATTTTCTTACTATCCAATTTAAGTTAGGTTAGGAAGTTTATTTTAAAAATTTAAAAATTATCAAAGAAGATATTTTATTAAAATTTAAGTACTAATAAAATTTTATATTGTATACAATATAGATGTTTAATAATGTATAAAATTTCAATTTCTTACTGATGTTGTGCTATTTAATTCAAATAAAAATAAATAAATTGTCTAGCAAAACATAAAATATATATATATATAATAGGTTAATAGTACACTATTACTAAAAAACTAATTATTTTATAATTTACGAAAAATAATCTGTTATTTTTAAAAATATATTACTACAGACTTTATTTACAATGACACTAATAAATAACTAGTGCCTACTTTTTTTTTTTTTCAAATTAATACTTTAATTTATATAATAACTTTATTTAAAACTTATGTTATATTTATTGTTACTTAATATCATTATAAATAAAACTTTCATGTTTCTATTAAGCTATTACTTTTTAAAATTAATTAGTTAAAATAATTTTGTTGAAAAATATTTAGGTAAATTAATAAAAATAAATAATTTATAATAAGAAAATTTAAAACATCAATAGTAGTCTTAATTAGAAAAGTAAATTGTCTATATATTTTATTTAAGCCATACATTTTGCTCTATCCAAGATAAGAAAGATGATACACGAGTGTATACACCAGGTGAATTCTCTGTTGCGCAGTATTTTCCAAATGATGTCACTCCTATCAAATTGAAAACGCATGGATTTTTTTCTGATCTAATAACTAGTGGTCCTCCTGAATCTCCCTGAAATATTAAAATTACTGTTTATTAAATGAATATAGATAGAAGTGGGGTTATCAAAATATAGCCATGAAAAGATATTATAATGTTTTATTTTTTTTTTATAACAAATAGATGTTTTATTTGTTATGTAATTATTTTTAGGAATATTTGGTTTATANATAACAAATAGATGTTTTATTTGTTATGTAATTATTTTTAGGAATATTTGGTTTATAGAGACTTCCATGAAAAATTTTTCGTTCATTTTTGTTATTATATATTTTTTAATCACTTTATATTTTTAATGTTGACCTGAACAAAATATATTGTTGAAATCTATAATTTACAGTGTTAAAAAAAAAGAAAACAGAAGTAAATTTTTGCATTAACTGATTGTGTTTTTTTTAACTGTATATCTGATTTTGGTTGTTAGTTTCTTGAGTTATATAGTCATTTTAATCTTTTATTTCTTAGACGCTCTTTAAAGTTTCACCATTTTTTAGTAATATTACATAGTAGCTATCACACAGTTTTTCCATTTTTTTCCCTCTGCTGTCTGTTTTTTGTGACCCTAATCATTGCTATATCTGTTGAAGTCGCCTAGTAGAAGAAAGGGTCTGGGCAATTATTGACTTATTTTTCCTATGTTACATATAGTTATTTCTGGTTCCATAATGATTCTTACAGTAATTGCTTCTAATTCAGAAGTGATTATTCGTTTTGATGAATATTGAGATTTAACATACATATCGACTTTTTCACTGGTTTGGTTACAAGATGTCTGATTAGAGTAGTATGTTTATAAGTTATTGACAATCGGCAGTGCTGGTAAGATTTCTTGGAGGCGTATAACCATGGGTTATACTGTTTTGTTATTTTTACATTGTACCGTGTTTCTCTCATGTGTCATCTGCTCATCACGTTATTAACTTATATAAAAGTGTATCGGGAAGAACTAGGTAGTCACGGTGGTCTAGTGGTAAGGTTTCTCTATATGTTTATGCCTTGCGTTGCGGGACTAATATCATACCGTGTCTATTTTTTTTACACAATTCCTAGTGAACTTTATAAGATCGCCCGTTAATGCCGGGCAGCCATGTTAATTTTTTATTCTGTATTCATTTTGAAAATTGTAAAATTTCCATTGGATTATGTATCTATTGTTCGTGCTGTCTTATGTCTAGTTTGAATGGATTGAGTTTGTAAATGAATATGTACGACTTAATTTGATTTTTTTATATCATGGGTTGGAGGATTGAGCAGTGAATCTCACATATTTTTCCAGTAGATAGCTGCATAACCTAGATATTCTGTTGGTTAGAGCTGAAATTTTGATTAGTATAGGTTGCACTCTTTTACATAACATTGATTAAATTCAAGTAGTTCTGTGATGACGTCTTCTTCTTTTTTTATTTTTTTGGAATGTTTCAATTATATTTTTAAATTGTTTAAAATTAATAGAAATTGAAGGGTTTATTTCGATGATCATTTTTACTGGTTAGAATAATTGGTCTAGATTTAGTATGAATAGCACTGTGGGTTGTTTGTTGTATATCTTCATGAGTTTGTTTGGGCAGGGACTTGAACATTATCATCGAGGTTTAAGATGTTAAAATGCATTTGTTTTGAAATGTGAATTTAGGTTTAATGTTGTATTATTATCAGAGTAGTTATCTTTTGTTTTGTAGTCAATGATTTGTATTTCAAGTGACATTCTGTGACATTCCTGGTAAAATTATTGTCTGATTTATTATTATCTTTAGTTGTGTTATTATTTTAATAAAACTTGTTGTTTTCCTCAAGATTTTTCTTATCACAGTCGTTAGAAATGTGGATTTTAGATTTGTAGTGAAAAAAAATGTGGTGTCATCTGAGAAAAAATTTAGAATTTGGTTCCGTTGTAAGTTACTGAAGCTGAAGCTGGAAGTTTTGAGAAGTTGACTGGGTTTATATAACATCTTAAAACATAAACATAAATTAATTTATTAAGTTTTCTTAAATTCGAGCAAGTCTGATTTCGACGAAGATATTTAGATACCATACTAACATAATTTTAAATGAATTTCTCTTTTGTTGTTTTAACAATAAATTAACGTTAATTATTTTTTTATAAAATGCTAAAAACATAACAATATATTTTTTAGATAAATATTTATTGATTATACTACATACCAAACATGTATCATGTCCGCCTGCCAAGTCACCTGCACATAACATTGAGTCAACTATACCTTTACTTAAACTATTAGTTTTACTCTCAGCTTCATATAATATATTGCAACGTCGATTATCTACTATATCTAAGTTAACTTTTAGCAAATGATCACTCGCACTTGAACCTATTAAATAAAATTTCATTATATCAATTTAACGATTTATAGTGATCAATTTTCAGTAAACCACTCGTTTACCAAAATCTTATTAAGAGTTTTTAATTTTCGAACAAATTATAAAATCTATAACATTTATTAATTTATTTTTCATCCCTTCATCTCAAGATGTATAATTTTTCTTAAAAGACAGCTGTCTAAGACTCATAATTTTATGGTATAATATTAATATGTCAATTAGTAAATTCTTCTTTCACATTACACACGAGCAATTTTTATTTATTTATTTATTTAAGTACCAAAGAAAAGCAGAGCGTATTTATTTATGGATGTAGACTTCTAAATCATGGTAGAGAGATGAAGTTGCTTCTTACAATGTGGAAATATACGGTCCCCCTTAATAAATTCCTAATTACCACACTGAAGAGGGGCTATGAGACTCCCACTTGATTGATTAACAATATTGATTTAGAAAAAGTTGTAGTAGCGACTTACACACAGAACTATACTGTATATATAGTTACAATAGTTACAAATAGTAAAAATACAATTTCTTCATTTATTGTGCTGAAAAGAGAAAAAAAAAAATTTTCTTTCCACAATAAAATATTAATTAAGTCATTATCATGAATATTAGATTAAATTGAAAAAAATATTAGACTAATTTCCCGAAGACAAAATATGGGGGTGGAGGTGATAAATTTATTTATGCCGATTGAATTATTTATTTTTAATTGTACAACCTTTTTTTTAATAATTATTTTTTGGTAGCATTCTCTTATATTAAAAATTTTCTATGAAAACTATTAAATTTTTCCATGTAGAGAGGCGTGTCACATACTTTCAAAATGGCCTTGATTACTATACAAATATATATTATTACCGTAGTCTGTTGATCCCCAGCCAGTAGCCGTAGCATTTAAATTATAAATTGCATTTTTCGTATAAAGACAGGCAGGTCTTATATTTTTATTAAACTGAACATTTTTATTTAACCGTAAAAGTGCAATGTCATTATATTTAGAAGTCTTAATATAATCTGGATGAACTATTATATCTTCTACAGTATAATCAACAGGTTGAGAACCATCATTAGATTCGTGCAAATTTAGATCACCCAATCTAACTCGTACAGGATTTCCTCTGAAAAATTGATTTAAAACAAGAGATTAAATTTAATAAAGAAATTTTATATTAATTCCGAAAATCAAAATGTGTATTCTATTGTTTACAGAGTGATTACACTAGTCAAGTTACACTAGACAAATTTCAAGTCTGGGCTTTATATTGGAATCTAATAATATATTCATCACTAATGGCATAAAAAAAATTTACTTGAAAAAGTTTGACTTTGTAACTATAAAAATAAAATAATGGATATTACTAAAATTTAAATTTGTTTTGTCTGTTTACTCATTGAAAAATATTAAAAAACATTTTTGCATAGAAAATAGTTTTAAATAATGATTAGCTATATAATTATTTAAAAGTAAATATATATATTGTAGATAATATAAAAGAATACATTATTATTAACAAAATAATGTAATTTTTATTATAACTGTATACTTAATTTATTGAGTTTGTTCCTAAACAAAAAGATACTAGATGTTCTTCAATTATATTAAATATAATAACAAATTCGAAAATTCAACATGATATAATCAAATATATATTATTTTCTATATTACATATATTTGGTTCAAAAGATTATATAACATACAAACAAATGATACGACCATAAGACACCTATATACTTATTGATTTTTAAAAAGCAAAACAAATTATTTAAAAAAAAATAGTGGACTTATGTAAACAGAAAATTATTATTAAAATGTAAACTAAAATATTTTTTTTTTTAACATTAATCACTTTAAGCTTATTTAACTATAATATTTCTAGGTTTTTTCTAATCTTTTGAGAACTTGGCTATGGAAACAATCAAGGATATTAGGAAATGAGGCTATCTAGTCTAGATGATATTAACACACGAATTCTACTATTAGTATATGCAATGAATCTGCATACAGATTCAATACATAGAGTTTAGCCACTTAGTGGCTAATCTTTTTACATTTATAAGAATAGGAAGATTCCTGTTCTGGTATAAGATTCGGTAGAAAAAGGTATAGCTAGTGCTCTTTTGAAAAGGTAAAATTTCCAGACGTTTTCTACTTTTATTGTTAATATGAATGACGCGGGTAAATGTGTAATATATTGTACTTATTATTACAAAAGATAGAATTAAAATAACGAAAAAAGCAACTTAGCTAATTCAATTCTTTGCTAAAAAATATTCAACGTGCGACTAACAATTGGATAAGGAGGTTTTAAGGTCAAAAAGGCTTTTACTTAACGCAGATATTATCATGACATGCGTTATTAGGTAAATAAAGGTCCGGTACATAAGTAGTATATTTATTTTAGTACATAAAATAATGTGACATATGATTTAAGGACGCATTATTTTCGGAATATATTCAAAAGTTACGTTGAACATGTTGAGTTTTGTTAAAAAGTTGCTATTTCGAATCCTCTCTTGTGGGCAAGTTAAGGATCAGATTTTCAAAAATATTATAACAAATAAAAGCGAACTACTTAATGTTTCAATATAAAAAAAAGTTATGTTTATTCGTTCATTTTTCAAAAAGTTATAGCAGTTTTAAGAAAAAAAATGTTAAAATTTACAGATTTAAAAAAACTTAATTTTTTTGAGGATTTGCGCCATTTACAGGGAATTTTTTCAATTTTTAAGGACAATGTCTTCAACTAGATACAATTAGATATCATTGAAAGAAATCGGTTCAGTGAGAGCTGTGAAAAAGTGGTAACAGACACAAAAAAAAAAACATAGTAAAATTAATACCTTCTCAATTTCGCATCAAAGCAAAAATGTAACAAATTCTTTTGTTTATTATTGAATAAAATTAATTATATTAATTAATTCAATCAAATAAATAATAAACCCAGCACAGTGGGGTCGCGGCATAGTGGGGATGTTGCATAGTTAGGACCAGTATAGATTTAATCTGACAGTGATTAAAATCACTATCATAAGAAACGCTTCGATGCAAATTTATAGAGTGTTTAATTAAAAAAAATTGATGGACAAAAGCAACATTAACTTCTATTTCCTTAATTATACCCAGATTAGTATTTCTTTTAATTATATATTATATAATTTTTAAAATTAATTGTTTTCAAATTATTATTGATATTGATTTTTAATATGTTAAAAGTAATCATTTTGAACCTACTTTTTTTTGTCCTTTAAAGTGAAAGTTTTAATAGAACAAAAATGAATTTATTACCATAACTTTTAGCTCAACTTGCAAGTTTGAAATTGGCATTATTAAATAGAAAAAAATGAAAATGTTAAGATTAATAGGGTCAGTAGGGGTAATTGTGAATAGGGGTAATTGTAAAAGAGGCTGGTATTCTAATAAAATTAATAAATTATAACCATCGAACTCGATATAATTATTATTTAATATTTTTTCTCCCATCAATCATATTTATTACAGTATTTTAGAGGTTATGTCATTTGTATTATCATTTAGAAAAAGTGCACTGAAAATACATTCATTTACATTTACCTCAATATCAAAGGGGTACTGGTAAATGTCTATGGTAATTGTAAATTACGCTTTTTTAGATTTGAAATTAAAAACTTACTAAAACTATATTTATTATGTCCACTAGTACATATGTATAATAATATAATAAATGTTTATGTAAGTAAACAGTCATAAATACAAGTTAAAAATCACTTTGATAGAATCATTTACAATTACCCCACCTGACCTATACAATCAGGAAATTTTATAATTACTATTTACAGTACATTTATCAGAAAAGTTCGATTTTTTTTACATTTTTATTGTATTAGATCACTTAAATAAAAATCATAGTAATCATTTCTAATTAACTTTTGGTGTTTAAAAAAATTCTACAATGGAAATATTCAGAATTTAATTAATTTTAATGATTATATAACTAAAAAAATCAATAAAAACGGTAGCACAGTGGGGTCGAGGCACAGTGTAGACAAGGCATAGATGGGACAAGTATAGATGATATTTGACAGTGATTAAAATCACTATCATAAGAAACGCTTCGAAGCAAATCTGTAGATAGTGTTTAATTTTAAAAAATTGATGGATAATTGCAAAAGCAACATCAACTTCTATTAAAATAAAATACAAAACCCATAATTATCATACANATTAGTGTTTAATTAAAAAAAAAAAAAACGGTAGCACAGTGGGGTCGCGGCATAGTGGAGACATTGCATAGTAGGGTCCAGTATAGATTTAATCTGACAGTGATTAAAATCACTATCATAAGAAACGCTTCGATGCAAATCTGTAGATAGTGTTTAATTTTAAAAAATTGATGGATAATTGCAAAAGCAACATCAACTTCTATTAAAATAAAATACAAAACCCATAATTATCATACAAAAATAGTATATTTTTCAATATGGTAGCCATTTGCGTATAGAAGATAGATCGTCGGGACAAATTTTTTTTTTTCATTTTGTAGTACATAAAATAAGCTTTAATTTTATATATGTTTAAAGGACGCAGTATTTCCGGAACATTTTCAAAAATTAAGTTGAAAAAGTTATTTTTTGTAAAAAAGTTACTATTTTAAATCCTCCCAGTGAGCAGAATAAGTGTTAGATTTTCAAAAAAAATTATATCAAATGAAAGGGAAATATCTAAGGTTTCAATACAAAAAAATATTATTTTTATTTGTTCATTTTTGAAAAAGTTATGGCAGTTTTAAGTACAAAAAACATCCCGATAAAATGTAATTTTTATCGCAAACATTACATTTTTTTTTAAATTCTATGTAGCTATTTGCACATAGAAGATAAGATGTCGGGACAAATTTTTTTTTTTATTTTATAGTAAATGAAATAAGCTATAATTTTGATATATGTTTAAAGGACGCAGTATTTCCGGAACATTTTCAAAAGTTCAGTTGAAAAAGATCTATGTTTTTTACAATATTTTAAGTTTTGAACGCCCCCTATATAAGGGGAAATTGTCCAATTTTAATAAAAAGTATGTCAAATGAAAGATGTACTTATAATGTATTTAGAAAAAAAAAATTTGTGCTGATATATACATTTTTCAAAAAGTTATAGCATTTTTAAGTTGAAAATTTAAAATCGAAAATCGAAAATTTTAACACAAAAATAGTGTTTTTTTAACTACGGCAGCCGTTTAAATGTAGAAAAAAAAGTGTCGGGACAAATTTTTTTTTTTCATTTTATAGCACATAAAATAAGCTTTAATTTGACTTATGTGTAAAGGACGCAGTATTTCCGGAACATTTTTAAAAATTAAGTTGAAAAAGTTAGTTTTTGTAAAAAAGTTGCTATTTTAAATACGCCCCCTATATAAGGGGAAATTGTCCAATTTTAATAAAAAGTAAGTCAAATGAAAGATGTACTTATAATGTAATTAGAAAAAAAAAATTTGTGCTGATACATACATTTTTCGAAAAGTTATAGCATTTTTAAGTTGAAAATTTAAAATCGAAAATTTTAACACAAAAATAGCGTTTTTTTAACTACGGCAGCCGTTTACATGCAGAAGGTAAAGTGTCGGGACAAATTTTTTTTTTTCATTTTATAGCACATAAAATAAGCTTTAATTTGACTTATGTGTAAAGGACGCAGTATTTCCGGAACATTTTTAAAAATTAAGTTGAAAAAGTTAGTTTTTGTAAAAAAGTTGCTATTTTAAATCCCCCCCCCCATGAGCAGGTTAAGTGTTAGATTTTCAACAAAATGATATCAAACGAAAGGTNCCCCCATGAGCAGGTTAAGTGTTAGATTTTCAACAAAATGATATCAAACAAAAGGGAAATATCTAAGGTTTTAGTACAAAAAAAAATTATGTTGATTTGTTTATTTTTCAAAAAGTTATGGAAGTTTTAAGAAAAAAAGTGAAAAAAATGACAAAATTTACCTATTTTTAAATTTGTAATTTTTTTGGATATTTCCCCCATTTGCGGGGAACGAGGGAAAATTTTTCAATTTTTAAATGTAATGTCTTCAACTAGATACGATTTGTGATCTTTTGACGTATTGTTGAAAGAAATCGGTCCAGTGAGTGCTGAGAAAAAGTAGTGACAGACACACAAAAAAAAAAATAAATAAACACATCATGGTAAAATTAATACCTTCCCAGCTTCGTATCGAAGCTAAAATAATATAAACATCTTCTTCTATTTCTTCGCCTTCATCCCAACTTAGAGTCTAAACTTATCCTAAACTTTTACTTGACACGATCTCCCATATCATCTACGCACACATCACCTCATATCGCATTTAATAACATCCCTTAATCTCTTTTTTGGTCTTCCTCTACCTCTTCTTCCTTCAACATTCATTTCTACAACTGTTTAAAAAATCATCTATTACCTCGCCTATACTTTTTACCCTGGTACAAATGTCATCATACATAATCTCTGTTATATCAATGTACTTATTTGAAACTTTTTTTTAAATATCCACTGTAGAACCTCTTTTGGTACTCTATCATACGTTTTCTCTAAAACTATAAATACCATTCACAGCTTTTTATTTTCCTATACTTTATATTAGTTATGTTATACAAAAAGCTGGCACTATCGTCGAATTTTCTGGCAAAAAAGCAAACTGATTTTTTGTTACTGATGTTTCTTCTCTATTCTTTTGTTTACTACCTTTTCCCAAACCGCCATACTAAAACTCATAAAGTTTATGGCTCTACTATAATATATCTCCTTTGCCTTTAAATATTGTCACTACAATACTATTCCTCCACTCTTTTGCATTTTCCCTTCAAATAGGATCTTATTAAAAAGATCCTTTAACCTTCTTATGTCAATACCGCCTAATATTTTCTATACTATTACTAGCATTTCATAAAAGCTGACTGATTGAGTGGAATTTCACTCAGTTAGTCTGGGTGAGATAATTTTACGGCAGAAAATCTTGACTAGTGCAAGTCACATGTAGATAGTTAGACAGTTAGAGAGTATATCAAATAATTTATGCATGATCTACGCAAATATAGGTCACACAGTCAAATGAATTTCTATTTGCAAAGATTTTATCAGAATATGGATGCCTTGGTAAGTATTTGCTCAAGCCTAAATGTAAACGTATTGTAATTGTTGTAAATCTAATGTTATTGTAATAAAACGTACGAATAAATTATAAAAGTTAATATAAGAGTGATTAAAAGTGGATATTGTAAATATTGTTAATGCCCAAACATTATTTTTTAAAAGTGCACTTGTCTACTTGAAACAATAAAAACTTTTATTATTAAAGTCAAGTAAATACGATATTAACATAACTTACAATGCACTGTGTGTACAATGAGCAGCAGTTAATACATATTTTTCACTAATCAATGTTCCACCACAATTCCAAGGATTTCCAGTGATGGTTCGAAAACCAACTGCAACCTAATAATTATATAAAATGCATACAACAAGTATTTAATATTTTAATTTACTGCATCATACCATATGAGGGAATTCCCCTAAGTCTGCTTTTGATCCACCTACTATTAATCCAACACCTTTTGAATCACATTTTTCTACAGATACTGGTTTGGGGGATGTATTAATTGACAATGGTAATACTGAAAGTGTAGTAGTCACGAAAGATTTAGAGTATTCTTCACATTCTAAAATAATTTCAATATTTTTTATTTAATAATATATTTTTCTTCATCAATTAACCTACTAATTTCACTTATGCGCTTTGTTTCATAATTTGGTCTTATCGGCTTATTGTAATTTTCATTATTATAATTATTTGTTATTAATGGTTTTTGTGTGTTATATTGTTCAATGTTCGAGTCATTAGGAAAATAAATACTACTGGTAGACTGATGATTATTATTATTCGGTCTTATATTTTGATAATTATTTAGACTTTGATTTATTTTATTTGGATAATTATTAAAATGTTGAGAGTCAAAATTATTTGACTGGTAAGGATAATTAGGATTATTATTAAAAGAATTATTATTTGGTCTCTTATTTGGGGAATTTGAAAAACTGTGGTAATTATTTTGATTAGATAAATAAGATTCATCTAAAGGGTAGTTGTTGGTATTTAAATTTGGTACAGTGCTAGGGTACTTAAAATTATACTGACTAGGTGTATTAGTTTCATAGTTATAGTAATTATTATTTTGATTTGGTTTTAATGAGGTGTAACTGGGATAATTGTTAAACTGATTGTAATTTACAGTTTGTTGGGGTCTTTGAGTTTCATAACTTGGATAGTTATAGTTAACATTTTGGGGTCTTTTAGTTGGTCTATTATTTAAGTATGGTTCTTCGTAATTAGAGTTTTCTACAAAATGCGAATAAATTGTTGATGTAGTATACTTTTTTTTATTTGCTTTTGTTGTTGCATCTTGATTTAAATTCTGATACGGTCTTTCTGCCAAAAAATGTTGCATATTACTTGTTTGTACTACATCATGATGTAGAACCTGCTGACTTGGCGGACTAAAGAAATTTTCATTAGTTATGTTGGGTTTTTGTGATACGACTGGTCCGTCAAAAAAATTGGTATTAAATCCTAATCTTGATTCAATAGAATTCTCTTTTTTTGGTGTATTATTTAAAGGACTCTTCATCGAGTTATTGTTTTTGGAACAACAAACTATATTATTTTTTGAATTGCATTTTACACCTAAATCGTCATTTATAGCACAATTCTCGCGATTTTGACAAACTCCGCTAATTCCATGGTCATTGGAACACAAGCTGCCAATTTCTACAAAACATAAAAAAACTTACTACATAATAGATAAGTATTGGCACCATATTTATTTTATTTTATTAGATATAATTCAGAAAGCAAATATATTGTTTTATACTAACATTTTTCATTGGGATAGTATATGTTAAGTATAGTTATTACTTATTCCAAATGAAAAAAATATTGTGTCAGTGACACAGTGTCATCAAAGCTATAATTATTTTCATTTTAGCGGTAGGGAATTTTATCTCCCCTACTATCTTTAATATTTCAATGAAATGTACTTAAACCCCATACATAACAGATTATACGCCTAGAGACTGTTAAATACTGATTTTTTTTTATTAAAAAATTATTATTTTTTTTATCTGTTTGTTTATCATTACAATATTATTTATAAATACTACTTAAACATGTTCAAATGAAAAGAAAAAAGATATAAAATTATTTAATTCAGTGGCTTGAAGTTTAACAATTGAAAATGTAGCATAGGAATATTATTGAAGGAAACTGGTGATCTAGAATGTCTTACTACAGATATTTTAGCAGAAATTAATTATAATATAGAAAAGTTTTTTTTAAAAGAGATTCCATTGCTAAATCATATATTATTCAGTGTTTAGCAAACTCACATTTAGAATATGTAAGAGAAGATAATACTGTTAATGCAAAATGGCAATAACTAATAGCAATATTTGAGTTTAAGCACATTTCAAATAGATTAATAATTAAAAAATACAATGTGATAACCTTAAAATATATGAAAGATGTTCTCATTAAAAATCACTAAACTAAATTTGATGATCTGGTTAGACAATAAAAACAGTAGACAGTAAAATAGAAGAAAATATCATAGCCCGTTTGCTTTTTCTGTCAATACTAAATCGTACTGTAATGTGGTTACAGCAATTAAAACATTAGCTAATAATAATATTACACTTTATTTTGTAAAAAGAAGACCCATGGATGAGCATCAAAAACTTACGAATTCAGGTCTGCTTGAAAGATAATTAAATGACACTGATTTTAGATTTCGAATAATCGTTGAATCCTATAATTGTGATAAAATCGAGCGCTATCATTGTTCCTAAAGAAAAACTATATGGATAAAGAAAAATTGTAATAAAGAGTAAACTAATATTTCAAAAGGAAATAATGACTCAGACAATGTTACTTTTAATTATGACAATAATAGTTAATACTCATTAGCAAGTGAGTGTAAAATTATAATATATATATAATATATATATTAATTATACATGACACACCACTGATCAATAACCTAGTATTTTGGCAATTATAGCTCACAGTAAATAATACAAAAAATATATTTTTCATAAAATAATAAATTTTAAATAGAAAAAAGCTNTTATGAGGAGAGAAGAATCGGAAGCTGTAAGAACAGTTATAGAAATGAATGTTGAAGGAAGTAGAGATAGAGGAAGACCAAAAAAGAGATGGAGGGAAGCGTTTAGTTGGGTTTAAACAATATAGCGTCAAATCAATTACCTACTCTATCGGTTGTATCTTAATATACACTACACTTTAATGATACTATAAATAAATAAACTCACACATACACACATATGCATTTATAACATTGTGTCTAATGTAAGTATAACATGATAAAAAGTAATCGTAAAATGAAAAAAATGGAATATAAATTTTAGTACTCACATTAAATGTAATGTAACTCGAAAAATATTTGTTTAAATGAAAAATTATAAGATAATTTTTTTGTTTATAATTGTCTTTTAAACAACTTTTGTACGAAACTTTTTTTTGTAAGTTAAATATTTTTTGAGAAAATTAAAAAAGCT